AGATATTCTTTATATCAATTTTTCTCTAAAACACTCTATTAATAATTCTCTTTTTAATTATTTCTTCTCAATTTGTTTTTTCTCTTAACGCAAATTATATTGTTTCCGACATTATTTATAAATTGATACTTGAAAAAGAATTGCATTCATCAAAGTAATATATATGTTATGTATCCAGGTTTTTTTTCCAGGCTCTAGAAGAACGGGGAAGTTTTATCAATTCTATTAACACATAAACAAGTTGCGTTAATAAATTGTTTTTTTAACTATCTTAAAGCTTAAAATTTCTCCTAATTCTTAATTTTGAATGAGAAAAATATTAGTTTTTATAAATTATAATTTCAACTTTGCTGTGACTTTTTTTTTTTAATTTCGGGAAAGTGAATCCCCTAAATCCTCCTCCCTTCAGATACGTACCCATGTACGTATATATCGCTATTCGTTTTCCTTTTTAATTTTACTATATTCTCTTGCATTGATACTTCTTCGTTGGCAGGAAATTTTGCGGACAACTACGGTTTCGTTTGGAAACACAGCGACGTCGGTGTTGCGAACGCATTTCAATCAGTCTCTGCGAGTAAATGGCAATTCGACGCGACGCGTCGCGTAATTCACACGATGTGCACACATGCATCGCCATTCTCGCGCGTTCCGCTCTCTTTACTCTTCGGTGGACAGTTTTACCACCTTTCGACAGTACCGGTTGTCAAGTGGTTCGGCGAGAAAAACTCGTTGTCGAATCGCAGGCAAAATCGACGGTGCATCGACTCCGTATCGAGACCGATGCGCTCGTCGATGCGATCACCGCGGTTCGGTGAAATCCCCGGCAATGAAAGTCAACGGTAAACGGTAAATTTTGGTTTAATTAAATACCCGAATGGCTTGTGTAATTCTCTAATCCCCCCTCCCTCTCTCCCCTCTCTAATTTGAGGCAACACGTGCTATTCATGTCGAATTATGATAAACGAGTGAGAAGAAACGCGCCAGCGCGTTTCCACCGACCGCGAGAAAACTTTCGAGAGCGCGACTCGTTCGCGGCTAAAAGGCGGAAGGCAAAGGCCGCGTGTTTCAAATCTCGATTCTCCCGACGTCTCGAGGCGGCGGGTACAAGATAGTACGGTAATACGATTATCTATGGGGATGCTCCTGCGCGAACGCAGGATATACATGCAGTTATACGCGATTGCTACCAGCGGCCGTTACGAACACGGAGTATCGCGCCAATAAACGTTTGTACGAGTTTACAAAAAAAAAAAAAAAAAAAAAAAACAAAAAAAAAAAAAAATAAAAAAAAAAAAAACAGAAGAACGTAAATCGAGCGAGTCGGGAAGAGGGGGAAAAGGGAAAGAGCGGGAGAGTAAAAGAGACGAGAGAGAGGAGGATGGGAGGATGAGGATGCCTGTAGAGAGGTTCGCCGCAAGATCGCTCCGGCTCCCACCGGAATTTTAACTTTTAATAATAAAGCGAGGGAGTCTCGCGTTGTTACGTTATGATAGAGCGCGCGAAGGGAGGGCGGGGAGGGAGGGGGATGGCACGGAGGAGATGGAGGCGAATTAAAGGCGGTAGAAGGAAGTTCTCTCCACTCTCCGTCCTCAGCTCTTGCCTGCGGCCGGGGGCCGGGGCAAACCGCAGCACAGGGCACCGCCGCCACCGCGTAATTGCCGCGCGCTCTCACTTACCGGTCGTTCGATTGATTATTATTTTTACGCGCCGCGACCCGCCTGACCCCGCCGCGAAGTGTGTGCGAGAGCGAGTCGATCGCAGATCGCCGCAACGCGCGCCTTAGATCTCATCATTAAGGCATCACCCCACTGCGACGTGCTCTTTGCGATGGATCTGAAATGTCTTATGAAATGTCATATGATGATGATAATATTATCAAAATTCTCTTTCTCGAAAAAAACTATTTTTTTGATAAATCATTTTTACACAAAGTGACAAATTTATTTTTATCGTAACTTTGATATCGCGACAATTTTCTGGGAATTTTTCTGGGGATTATTTTATAAAATCTAGGAGTAAAGTGTTCAATTATATCTAAGCTGTGAATGATATTTAGCCTGAGCCTGAGCTCGCTATGCCAATCTGCAAGCTTTACTTTTCAATGTACCTCGATCTATCAAAAATCTATTGTCGATCGGTCGGTTGGTTGGTTGGTCGGTCGGTCGGTCGCTCGGTGGCGAGCTATTATCTTTATATACCTCGACCCATCTGACCTTAATGTACCGATCGCTGCCGCTTCTTGGATCATGTTATTAAACTTGATCCAACGCTTGATCTTATGGACAAAGGTTGCCAGGTGTGGGGAACGGCGAAATCACGCGAGAGCGCGTTCCTGAGAGAGTGTTTTCTTCCTCCTCCTCCTCCTTTCTTTCATAATCAAAATGTGAATACATCGGAAGTCGTGATCGTATAATTAAATAACAAAGTAGGAATTTCTCGGAAAGATTGGGTGGTGAATCGCGCACGAGCTTTTTATGCGCAACAGAGTGCTGCGGTCACGCGGCTCAGCTCGACGCGGCGCAAACAAATTAAAACATCCGCCTAACGCTGCTGCGTATTTTAAGAGACGTTTCACCTCGGTTTGCAAAGCTCGTGAATATAAACGCGGACTTGGAAGAAAGCTCGGAGGTAGAACCAGTGCGATACAACGCAAGGAAGGAGAGGCGTGAGCTTCGCAACGTCTCCGTCGCACTCTCTTTCTTCGGCAAGTAGCACGGAGTAATTGGATTTGCGGAGGTGGAAAGCCACGGATGCGGGAGAAAAGAAACCCGGCGAGAAAAGCCATGTAACAGGCTAGGAGAGAGAGAGAGAGAGAGAGAGAGAGAGAGAGAGAGAGAGAGAGAGAGACACAATGAGCTGTATAAATAAAAAGCTTAACGAGAGAGCCTCGCCGTGACGCGCAAGCACGGAGAGTTACGAGACCAGAGAAAACCTGCTCGTGCTGTACCGAATAATAATTACATTCCTCCGCTGTTTACGTACAAAGTACAGGAATTTCTCCGAAGAAGGAGAAGGAAGGAGAAAGAGACGGAAGAGAGTAAGAGTTAACTGACAAGCTTGGTGAAGAAAAAAAATACGCTATCCATTTTGTCTTGGAATTCTAGGCTCTTGAAGCTATTTCGAGTCATGGCAGGTGCTACTTCGAAATAATTAAAAGCTCTACTCTCGACGAATGTAAGTGGCCGTGTATCGTAATCGTGAGAGAATAATATGTAAATTGAGTATAAATATCGCTAAGTAATAATTGCTTGGCGAATGAATAGAACGATCGATCATATCTCGGATGCAAATCGAATGTCCAGCCACGATACCGGCCCTGAACTTTGGACGCACGCGCACGTATTACTTACATACACGCATACGCACGCACGCACGCACGCACACACGTACACACATATATACATACAGACGGTTTACTCATTTAAACTAAATTATTCCAAATAAATGAGCGTGTCCTCGGTAGTGCCTACATACCCCGGGACATTCATTCACCCTTAATTAATGATCCGCTCGAAAGTCGGCAGGATTAATCGCGTGCAATCAGATCACCGTAATTAATTACTTCGTGTTGGAAGCACTTTGTTTGCGTCGGCGAGAGCTATCTTGATGAAATGAAATTGCGCGACGTTGTGTCTGAAAATGTGCAAGTCAACGCGCGATACAAATGACTTACTCTTCGTCAAGCTTGTTTCCCTTTATTTACATTCGATAATTATTGATTTCACGAATCACCGCAAAATATTACTTCCCTCGTAAATTTATTTTTGCTACATACACATTTTAATTACATCTTCAGCTGCTTAAAAAAAATACCTTTTCTAATTTGGCACAGAAGCAATTTATTCATTTGATTATTGACAAGTTTGCTGTTATAAAATAACGAGCACGGTATTTTTATTGGATCGCTCATCAATTAAAAAAAAAAAAAATTTCGTCGATGTATCCTTTTTTCATTCACGAGTGCGATGGTCCGAGCGAGCGGCGATTCTCCTTAACTCTCTTCTCCGGCGACTTCATTTCTATCAAATTTTCCAGACAACCTGCATAAACCTGCCTACCTGGCGTGTATAAAAGGCCATATATTATGTAATACAATGGCGGTAATAATATCAGATCGTATTCGAACACGTAGACGAGAGACTCGTAGAGATGGTTTATGACGTGCGAGCGAGTGAAGCTACTCGCAAGAACGGAGGTGGAAGGTCTT